CCCACTGACGCCAATGATGGGGCACTATTCCTCCCACTGACGCCAATGATGGGGCACTATTCCTCCCACTGACGCCAATGATGGAGCACTATTCCTCCCACTGACGCCAATGATGGGGCACTATTCCTCCCACTGACGCCAATGATGGGGCACTATTCCTCCCACTGACGCCAATGATGGGACACTATTCCTCCCACTGACACCAATGATGGGACACTATTCATCCCACTGACATCAGTGATGGGGCGCTAGTCCTCCCACTGCAAAATTACAGTTATGAAGTAGCAACGAAAATTATTTTATGGTTGGGGGTCACCACAACATGAGGAACTGTATTAAGGGGTCGCGGCATTAGAAAGGTTGAGAACCACTGACCTAGTGCATTATCCAAGATTTATTCAACGGTGTAAAAGACAAAAACATACTCACAGCATAGCATGTATAAAAAGCTTTTGTATAATGGAGATGGCTGCAACAACGGGCAAGGTGTTCCTACTGTCAGTGTGGTCAGATGACTGACGCGTTTCGGGGATGAATCCCTTTCCTCAGAGCTACTGGCACCGTTGAATAAATATTGGATAATGCACTAGGCGTTTGCGCCACCTGTCTGCTCTTTTTCCAGTGGTTGATTTCCCCCGTCTGAGGAGGGCTGCATCCCTGAAACATTATCTTTAGGCCACTCCTGTCCTGGTCCCCTTGGCCTCCCTTTGGCAATTTATTTCCTGGAGCGCTGGAGAGCACACACAGTTATCCAGTCTGGTTGAGAACATATGAAGGTCTAAGATAACCCCTTGATCCGCTGTGACTAGAGCAGAGTAACTACAATGTAGAAATTATAACATTGCTACTTTGTACTTCTCATTGATCTATGCATACACTGTTCTGGGAGTGTCACTGTATACAAGAATAGGAAGAGCCTCTGCTGTAATACAAAGCAAGTCTTGGCTGCAAAATGACAGGTGGGATTCACCAGTAAATGCAGCCTGGGAGCTGCAAGGGAGGAGGAATAGTATAGCATACCACACATGCCCGAAGTTATTAGAGTTTGAGGGGGGGGGGGGGGGGGTCATATGTGGTATGCTCAAACACTTAAGGTTACAGGTTAAAGTGGAACTTTAAGTAAAAAAGAAAAATTGTGGAGAGGCAGGATTTTGAATGCAGAAGAGACATACTCAGGGGCGTACTGACCATTTGGAAACTCAGGCATTGCCCGAGGGCTCGGGGTCAGTAGGGGGCCCCATAAGATGCCCCTGGTACCTTTTTCATAGGCTTTTTTGAGTTTGGCCAAGGACACAGGGACCCCATGATCCCCTATTGCCCAGGGCCCCAAGAGTTGTCAGTCTGCCCTGCAATCTTTTCTGCATTAAAGTTTCTTACTTACCTGCCCACCGCTATACACTGAGCTGTGCAGCTCAGTACACAATTTCAGCAATGCCGAGCTGACTGAACTCCTGCACATGCATAGGAGGGACGTCACCACAGCCAGGACAATTAAAGTGACTGGAGATTGGTACCCAGAAGCCTCCTGGTTGAAGATGGCAGTGACCCTTGGGGAGCTGCAGAACATTGCAGCGCTGGAGTGAAGGTAAGAAAGGTTCCACTTTACATATAACCAGTGTATAAACCAGGCTATAAGGTTAAGGTATAAGCTTAAAAAATTGCAAAAAAAAACTGACCCAAAACTGCTACAATTTTTCTTTTAAAGCGGAACTCCAGTCTTGGCTTCAGACATTCATAGTTGTATAAGCTCCTCTCCTGTACCGAAGCTGCTTAGCCTAATCTCAGTACACACTGCGAGCTTTACACAGTGCGCATTAAAAGTTGCAGAGTATGCCTCATTTCCTGGCGGGAGGACATCCAGCATCATCTAGCACTTTTCTCCCAAGCCTTGCTGGACTTTGTCCCCCCCCCCCCTTCCTTTCCTTTCAATCTCTGTATTTCAAGTCAGGCTCAACTTCACATGTAGGAGCTTCTTAGGGTGGTCTGCATGTTAATGCAGTCCCCCTAGTAACGCTCACTCTTCCTGACTGACACCCTCCCATGATTGCGTGCTATGTTTTCAGTAATGATCTACCTCCATTGCATGGAGAAACACAAGAGACCTAGTCACTGGGGCCAAAATTAAGTATGATTTGAAAACAGAAAGATTTTTTTTTAGCGTGGTGATTAGTATTTAAAAAAAGGAACAAGGGAAGGCAAAATATAAGTAGATCTAACTTCAGGTTTAAGTGACTGTGTACATTCTGAATGCATGATGCTTTGAATTAATTTTAGGTTATACCCTTCTGGCAATTAGGCTGAAGCAAATTGTGTTAAGGAAATCTGAACCCCCAAAGGATCTAGTTAAAGGATCTGCACAGGGAAAACAGGAAAACAGAGGTTATTGCAGTCAGGGCGTGAAGTGTTGATTTAGCACCTATTGTTCACAGTTCCAAGGAATGGAATGGCAAATCCAAAGCCCTTATAAATGTGAAATCAAGAGGTTTCTGCAAGGGATTATTAGATGACTTTTTACAATTCTGGTTGTTAATATTAAAGATTATATGTCAGCTTGTAAGTGAAAACCTCACCAAGAATATGTAGAGACATATTCATACCAACGCTTTGGGCAATTATATTTGACAGAAAATCTCCTCTGCACTATGACAAGGGATTTTAAACAAGGCCAAGTTATTGGAATATGTCTGTTAGAACTCTGGGGAGTCAATCACAGACCTCTTCAGGTTTCCTGACTCTCCAGGTGCTAGTTGATAGGATCCCTGGGGGGTAATGTGACAAAGCTTCACTAACAATGGCTGTTCCACCATCCTGCATTTCTTTTTCTTAACAGATCCAGTAATTGTGATGTGTATTTAAGAACCACATTTTCAGACAATCCTGTATATTTCCATTACTTCTTTAGAAATGAGCATCTCTTACCAAAGTACCTAAAAAAAGCAACTGCCACTAATGTGTATATCAACCAATTAAAACATTTTATTCACATTCAAATTTGTACTGGTGAAATGATACCTGGAGCCTGTTTGTTAAGTCTAGGTTCAGACCAGGGGCGAACTGACTATTTGGAAACTCGGGCACTGCCCGAGGGCCCGGGGTCAGTAGGGGGCCCCATGAGATGCCCCTGCTACCTTTTTCATAGGCTTTTTTGAGTTTGGGCAAGGACACAGGGGCCCCATGATCCCCTATTGCCCGGGGCCCCATGAGTTGTCAGTCCGCCCCTGGTTCAGACATAAGCAGTGCAAATTCTGTCAGTTTTCAAATGCGATTTAGTGGGCAGCTGTGGTGCGATTCACCTGCAGTTCAGCCTAAATACCAATGTGTTTTTCATACAATTTTTATACAGCTGAAATTTTGTGCTCTTTCTCTCACACACGCACAGGCTAAACTTGTCAAAAACACATTGGAATCTCATTGTATCTGGACACATAATCATTTCACATGCACTTTCAATTCGAGTTTATAGAGCTCAAAATCGAATCGCACCTCAATCGCTCACACGACCCTTTTTCAAAATCGCACTGCAGCTGAACTGCATATACTGTATGTGAACATCCTCCATGGTAAATCATTTTATTTCACATGTCTTCTAAATCACTGCAGTTCAAAACACATCCTAGAATAGTGTGAACCAGGGCCAATGGAAAGTTAGGCAGTTCTTTTAAATGCTATGATAAATCAGGCCTACACCTTAACGCTTATGTTTACTCAAAAAACAAAAATAGAATCAGCACAAGGGACATTACTTATGATTGACCTTTGTGCTGCTGTCTCCTCCTTTAGCAGACATAATTCTCCTTCCATTCCCCCTCCCCCATCCTGACTGTAATCTTCTGCTGCTGCAGGGGTTAATGGAACCAAGAAAGCTGTGGCGGGCAGCCAATCAAGAGTGTCTGACTATGCACACTGTTTCTGCGCAGCTCTTCCATTTGTAAGAGGTGTACTATAGCTTTTATGAATGAATTGTGATCTATGACTGGAGGATGGGCGGATGAATGAAAGGCAGATTATGGTGGTGGTGTTGGGGGAATCAGAGGAGGAGGGGTTCTATTAAAGGAGGAAACAGCATCACAAGGGACACATTGCATCATAAGTATTGTCCCTTGTGCTGAATTAATTTTCTTTTTTCTTTAGTAGGCTTTGGCCATGGATCACATTAGTTTGGAGTGCTTGCACTCATACTTTACGGGTACAGCAGCCCATTAATCTAATTGGGCTGCTGCACCTGCAAGAAAATCAAGGAAAGAAGTCCCCGACCACTTTTAAATCTTCGGCACAATGCAGTCCCGTGGCACCATGCAAATTGGAGTCCAAAATCTTGTGCCAATGCATGGGGTACAATTAGGAATTAATGGCACCCTCGCATGTCTACTGAAGCACAGATAATCTCAGTAAGAAACACACATGATTATGCACATTCCTAACCCACACTAGTCTGAACCTAGCCTTAACTATCTAGTATGTTTAGTACCAAAGTCAAGGTGGAAGTGCTATGGTACATCTTGGAAAACTCAATCAGAAATCAGCTTTTGTTAGTGTATTTGATTTGAGCTATTATTAGTTTGATTCTCTTTTCAATATGTTATTACAGCATTCTGTCAGATCCTATAATTCACCTAAATAGTACATACTGTATCTAATGAGAAGGTCCACATCTTTAATATCTATGTGGTTGGATAGATTTCCTTTCACTTCCTGTTGTGTCTCTGAAATAGAAGGTAATAGAAATTCCCAGAATTGGACATTCAGACAGTAAAAAAAATGTTTTAACAATTTTCTGCTCTATGTTTCAGCTTTAGATAGACTTATTGTACAATTCTATAATGTTTTAGGATGTTTCAGACATTTGTCTGTAAATCTAGTTTAGCTTTTTTGGCAAATGTGTACATCTATATTAATGTTACCTTATAATTGTTACACCATGCAATGATCTGTTATTTAAAACATTGGGTTTGTTGGTCTGCAAATATTTTGTTGGTGAGTGATGTATTTTTTTTTTACAGATTATTGTCTTCAATAACTTGCTCTCCCAAATGTGACCGTAAGACAGAGACATTAATAGCGGTGGACAGCGATAATGAGAGAGGAGAGAAGAATGGGAAGAGAGTGTGCTTCAATGTTGCAGGGGATGAGCAGGAGGATTCAGGTCATGATACCATCAGCAACCGAGATTCTTACAGGTGAAAATCCCCTATATTGTATAGTATAAGAACCCTATATATACAGGTTGCTTAAACAAAATCTAACAGATTCCTTCATCCATGCTATGTAGAGCGGATGGACAAATCTATCACTATGCCTTTGGGCATTCTAACATCCACTACAGGTGGATGCAACCACTGTTTGGTAGAAAATATTCCACCTGGAATGAATTATGTTGGAAGGGAGGGGGCTGATGGGGCCAATCACATAGCAAATTTCAGCCGGTTCATCAAGAACTAGCCAACATTTCTGTAGTGTATAGCCAACTTAAGCCTGATTTCAACTTTCTTCTAGCTTACAGCAGCTTATTTTTTCCCATCTGATTGAGAAAGTGAACACATCCTTTAATCAAACATTCAAATGTATTGCTTCTTTTGGCCACAGATGAGATTTGAACAGTTTTAGTCATTCATTCAATCTCATAATGGGTTTTCTATCTTTGTGGACATCTTGCTTTACAAGGAAAGCCCTTGTTGTGAACATTACTTATGTGGGAGTGGAGAACTGTACATTCTATTTGTATGATATTGCTGCTGATGGTTAGATGAGGAGTGTTTGATCACCCAAAATCTGTAATTGTATGCTTTATGCAGTGACTGTAACAGCAACAGAAACTCCATTGCCTCCTTCACCAGTGTGTGCAGCAGCCAGTGTAGTTCATACCTGCACAGCGATGACATGGACTCTGGTAAGATTATTTGTATGTGAATATAGTGTCATTAATTTTCAAACCTATATAATATTTCCACTATTAATTAGTAAACATACAAGTTACTAATTAGTCTTGATTATAATCAAAAGATCAAAACCCATTCACTCAATTTTCCTATAAGCTATAACTTGTTAATGTCATTTCAAACGATGTTTTGAATTTTTCATATCTGCAGCTTTCATTCCACAAATCCTGCCATAAATGTTCTTGTTCAGACACTTCCTGTTATGGGCTGATAACAGTCTCCTATTCTGCATTGTCATCCTTTTCCATAAACCACTGTTGCTGAGAAATACATTGCACAGGCATGGCCCACCATTATCAGGAAGACAGTACAAGGGAATAATGTGTCACTGATAGTAGAGCAGGTACACATAGATAGGTGGCTGTAGAATGAACAGTAACACTGAGATATGTAAAGGATGAAAGAAAATGTGAAAACAAATATTTTATGAAAAAATGGCAGTCTTTTGAGATACACGGGGGGGGGGGGGGTTTATTAAAACTGGTTCACTCAGAATCTGGTGCAGATGTGCATGGTAGCCAATCAGCTTTTATCTTCAGCTTGTTCCATTAAGCTTTGACCATAAATCCAGGAAGCTGATTGGTATCTATGCAGAGCTGCAGCAGGTTTTACACTCTCCAGCTTTAGTAAATATCCCTCATAGTTCTTTAGAAAACGAAATTACATTAATTTAGGGTACCTTAACCGGTTCCCGCATGGCCTATAGCCAGATGGCGGCCGGCAAAACACATCGTCCCTCCGGGTGAATGCCATATGGCGTCCTTTCAGGCATGCGCAGTTTGTTCAACTCCAAAAAACCCGCCATGCCTGTTATGAAATACGTGGGACTTTCTACTTTACAAAAAGGGGTCATTTGGTCGATATCTACTGTTTTGACATTTTTGGACCTCAAGAAATTGAATTGGCTGTCAGTACTTCAGAAGAGATCAATATTCAGATATATACCATAGTTTGTGAACTCTATAACTTTCCTACAAACTAAATAATGCATCCTAATTTGGGTTATTTTCACCAAAGACATGTAGCAGAATACATTTTGGCCTAAATTTATGAAGAACAATTATTTATTTGCAAATTTTATAACAGAAACAAAGAATTTTTTTTTTCAAAACTTTCAGCATTTTTTGGTTAATTTAGCAAAAAATAAAAACCCCAGTGGTGATTAAATACCACCAAAAGAAAGCTCTAGTTGTGTGAAGAAAATGATAAAATTTTAGTTTGGGTACAGTGTTGTATGACCGCGCAATTGCCATTCAAAATGTGAGAGTGCTGAAACCTGAAAAATGGCCTGGGGAGGAAGAGGGTAAAAGTGCCCGGTATGGAAGTGGTTAATAAGTGAAGAATAGTATGGTTATTATCAAATACCTTTTATTTACTTTTCTCTTATTTTGCTCCTTTAATCCTTAAGTTGAACTATGGCCATACAGATATTTATCCACGATACAGAAAGTGCTCCCAGCCATGATCACCACTGGCTGTGCATCTTGGAAAGCCTCTACAACCTTTTGCTGCATTGTATAGGCTCGGCAGCCAAAGCTATCTGCACACAGCTGTCAATACCAGACGCAGGAGCCAGTAGATTCTTGTCGCTGACATTCACAGCCTGGTTAAATGCCTGTGTGAATGCGGCCTAAGAACAGAACATAAAGTGCTGTAACCAAGTAGATCCAATCTGCATTGATTGTTTACATATTTGACTTCCATAAACAGAATAAATTGCTATGAGTTACTGCACTTTGCAGCACTTTGCACATTATCATTGAGGTTTGTTATTGAGACACTTCCAGTGCTTTAAGAGTCAGTGCCAAACAGAAGGCGAAAGGACACATCCTGTGGTAAACAAGATATAGGGAAATGTTAGAGATTCTGCATATAGCCCTACAGAACAGACAGTGCACAGTCCATATGTGTTTATATGCTGCTTCTCTAGAAACAGGACACTGGAACTTTTTATTTTAGAGAAAAGACATAGAGTTTATCACAAAGTTCAGCTACAAACTAATATACACTGCCATCTACTGGTTCTCTACTGAGTACTGAAACTGATGTTGCACAAAATACATGAACATTGTATTCCAACAGGAACACAGGCTGACATAGTAGAATTTTGCATATTTTATTGTGTCTAATTCCTTTCTACCACAGGGGATGAGCTGCCATTAAGTGTCAGAATTTCCCATGAGAAACAAGACAAATTACACAGCTGTTTGGAACACCTTTTCAGTCAGGTAAGTGAAGTACTACAGGCACATTTTTTATAACTCTCTGTAGACAACACACAACATGTTTTTCAACTTATCCAAGTATTTATTGACATAGTTTACTGATAAAATATTGTCTGGGTTAAGACACGCCTCCCAAAATTTCAAAAGAGGGACACATTTCCACATGGAATAGCAAACTGGACACACCCTGCCATACCCACTTTTAGCTAATTTTGGGAATTGGACGTTGGACTCCCAAAAAAAAGGTAATCATTGTACACAGGATGTTTGTAGCATGTCCAGTCCTTCTGCCCTACTCCCCCCTCCCAATACACAGCAATTCTGCTCTCATTAATCAAAGCCTGATTAATGTGTATGCAGAGAAGATCAGCAGCTTCAGCTGTCAAAAAATATATATTTATAAATAACACTGCTCAGATACTACAGAAAGATACATATTGTACTTTTGTATCATTCTGTTCATTCATCTGCAGATCAAAGGGATAAACTTGGATCTGCAGATGATGGCAGGTAAAGCAACCTGACATGAAAAAAAAAGCATCCCGCCCCTTGTTCACAGCCCCAGCAGATTGGACTGAAAGTCCCTAGAAAGCTTCACTTTCCCAGACACTACAGCTTACAGTCACTGCAGCTTACAGTGACAGAGTTTCATCAAAAGAGGCAGTGCTGCCAATCCAGAAATCACTAGGCAGGACTAGGTGTTGTCAAGGGTTGAATGACAAGCCACAGGCTTGTAAGAGTTCGTGCACACAACCGTATCTGGTCATATAACAAAAAATTCTGCATCATGAGCTGTATGCTCATTTGCATACGCATGTATACACAAGGACTTTTGTATACACACATCAATCTCTACCTGATATAGCCTATTGGAGCACATGCACATATACATGTCTGTAAACAGCCTATCGCAGTCCATAAAGTCATAAGCCTAAGGAATGTGTTGGGTAAATTAAGTAAGTTCATTTGAAATGTCAAATTGAAAAAATATGAAGTAGTTTTCTTATAATTTATTTTATCTAACAAACAATAAATATATGGTTTACTTTTAAGATGATAAATAATGTACATTTTTATTTCTTGCCAGGTGGAATCAATTACTAATCTTCTAAGAGGTCCAGCTGTTGCAAGAGCATTTGAGCAAACAAAATACTTTACACCGGGACGAGGGCCTGCAAGGTACATCTGGTGATATACTTTATTTATTTATACAATCTAAGGTCCCTAATTCACATTCATATATACTACTAGGGCTGATTTAGACAGGATCCAATTAACCTATCAGCATGTCTTTGGAGTGTGGGAGGAAATCCATGCAGGGCACAGGGAGAGCATGCAAACTCCAGGGAGGTGGTGCCATGGTTGGGATCCAAACCAATGACCCTAGTACTGCCAAGCGGAAGTGCTAACCATTTAGCCAATGTGTATAATATATATATATATATATATATATATATATATATATACAATTTTATATTACAGAAATAACTACACTCACTAATTGATGGATCAAGACAATTACTGGCCAGTTGGGTTCTCCTGGCTTTCAGGCTTTAGTTGCAGCACCCTGGGAGAAGCAAGGGTTGTGTAGAGTGTGGAAAGTCTGGACTCAGCTCTAAAATAATATGTGCTAGACAACTATATTTAATGAGGTGCTGAAATGGGTATTCATAACACTGAACAGGAATCTATGGCTGCATTTCCTCTTTAGGCATTCTTTAACCAAATTAAAAGATAGTTTCATATTTCAATGAAGATATATATATATATATATATATATATTTATATACATATATATATATATATATATATATATATATATATATATACATATAGCTTTTCCTTTCCTGAAGGTCCCCTATTATTTCGCCTTGGCTTGGTTAATGTCACAACTGTTACTGATATGGTAGGTGAAAGAAATTGTATATATAAACGCTACAAATAGCAGCTATTTCTTCCTTTGTCTGAGCTATGGAGTGACGATGATAAAAAATCTTAGCACAGTTATATTGCCTACATCCAGATGTGAGTTTTCAAGCTGTCGCTCTTTCTGTTTCATGTTCTCTGTAGAATTTCAACAGGAAATGGAGCCTAAATTAAGTTGTCCAAAGCGGTTACGACTTCATATTAAGCAGGATCCTTGGAATCTGCCAAGTAGTGTCCGAATTCTTGCACAGAACATTCGAAAGTTTGTAGAAGGTGAGTTAAAAGTATCCAGAATCTTTGAAAAGAGAATAGCATTGGAAATGTTGTTTCAAAAGTATGTTTTTGGTCTAATTGATCTTGATATTTCATGTACAGTATGCTTGGCAAGATATCAGAATTCCAAGGATTACAAATAATGCATATAAAACATTAACTTTCTTTCTGGGATACCCCCACATTTAGTTTGGGGTGAGATAAGAATGTGTCTGATCAGATGTGTTACAGCTCAGATAAGTGCAGGTGTCAGTAAAAGGATTGGTACAAGCTGTCGTTCAGTTTATATTTCAGCAGTCTTTACTGTACTGCATTAAGCCAGCTGCTGAATAGTTATAAAATGGTAAAATGGCCCAACTGACTTTGCAAAGCAGTACTTGTGGACTACAGTATTTTCTAGGACAGACAGATTATTCATACTTTCTTGAAGTAGGGCAAAGTCTGGATTCTTAGGTGGTAAATTCAAATAATGGCTAGATAAAAAATGGAGACAGCAGAAATGTGCTCAGCATTGTATATGTAATCATTACAAAAAGCATGTGATGAAACATGATTTTTGGTTGGAAGCATGGATTACTAGTGACATTCTTGCATAAATTAAATTATAGCAAAATAGTTCTTTGAACAATGCTGACCTGACAAAATGTAGGCAAAAACTGCCGATCCTGGCAATACCTGGAGAACAAAAATAAATGTAGTATAAAATACATCGTTTTCAGCCCCTTACACATGGGAGTCTTAATATATTGATGTTTATTCAGGAACTTGTGATGCCCGTGTGCAAGGGTCCAAAAACTGTGTGTAAAAACCTGAGTAATGTTGAGTATAGACGAGTAAAGGTGTAGAAGCATACATATGAGTATAGAAGACTAAAACTCTTCTTCAGTGTCAGTATTGTGGCCACTTGCACATGGTTGTCACAAGTTCCTGAGTAAACATCAGTGAATTATGACTCTTGTGTGCAAGGTGCCTAAATGAGAAAACACGCAAGCAAATTACTGCACTCAAATGTAAATGCTAAATTTTTCTATTTTAGTTTTATTGCTCTGTACTCGATGCTGTATTACTGATATTTACTCAGCTGTGCAATGTCCCATAGACAGAAATGCATCTCATTTCAGATCAGTAAGAAACTCTGCATTTTTTACTCCCATGTGCAACAGACCTTGAATTGGTGGTCAGTGCAGTACCTCCCTTAATTTAATAGTCAGTGATTTTAATGCCCCCCCTTTAAACTGGTGGTCCATGTAGTATCCCCTTTTTAGTTGGTGGTTAGTGTAGTGCCCCTTTTTAGCTCGTGGTCAATATATTGTCCCCCTTTAGTTTACAGTCAGTGTAGTGCCACCTTTTAGTTAGTGGTCAGTGATTTTGGTGCCAACTCAGATTAGTGTTTTGAAGTTTCAGTGCCCCTTACATTAGTAGTCGATGGTTGAATGGTCCCCTTTTTTGGTTGTCAGGGGGAGCTTAAAAGTAAATTGGTGTCAATGGTCTACTCACCTGAATCCTGGTTATCAGCACCAGAACTATGCAGGCACTGTTGGGCAGTAGATCAGTTCACCTGCACCACCCTTGGTGTATGCCACTGCAGCAGACAGTAGTACATTGAAGCACAATCATTAAGAAAGAAGGCTCAGGCTTCAGAATACATTGCTGTTTATGGATATGTGCAGAGGGCTGCACTATGCTACCACAAAACCAAATCTGATGCTTCTTGTTCATTCCACAAATTGTGCTTTCATCCTGAAACAATAGGATTTTTTTTCCTCTGCAGTACTCCTGCTATTGCATAACTGTATTCTGTAATTCTGATGTCAATGCCATGAACTATGCTTGCTATATTTAAAAACAATATTTCATTATGCTGAGCTGAACATATATCCATGTGGTGAGCACATCCATGAAGGATGCAGCGTCAGCAATTACTCTAATGCATTTTGATGGTTAGGGAACAAGTCTGTAGAAGATTTATGAGTATGTTTATTTTCCTGAAATCCAGAGGAGATTAAAGCAGTTGTTATCTGCTTTCAGCGGTCTATTTTAACTGCAAGACTTATTTCCCACAGCTCAAGATCTTCCATTTCGAAAAAGATACCCTAAACCATCAAAAAGTTTCTTTTCATTAGGCTTCTCTGTACCAGACATCACACTGATCAAGGATGGCGCACAAACGTAGAATCAGATAAAACAAATGTACTGCAACCAAAAGAAACGTTACAGAAGTTTCAGAAGATTTCTATTATCAGTTATTGTACCTGATGTAGAAAAACAGAAGAAGTTGATAAATAATCAGCCTTGTCTTATCAGAGTGATAGTGAGAATACAGAATGCTGTGAAGATGAAGATTTACTGTAGCAGAAAATAAAACTGTGATGGAGAACAATTCTAGTACTAAGAAATTATACCTTTAAGGATTTATGATATATCACCCAATATTTGCTTGTACTTCAAATGGTCACCAAGCATTATACAGCAGGCCAGAGTTGTCCACCTGACAGTTTTTCCATGTTCCAGAGGAGTTACGTGTGGCCCACCATGGTTGACAGCTTTTATAGGCTTTCTGCAGCCCATTTGCTCTATGATTGGATATCACTTGTACACCATGCATTTATTACTGATCATACACCAACATAATATGTAAAGATTTGTAGAGTGAGCAGTGTTCTATCAGCAGCAGTTCCCAACATTCCAGGAGGTTGATTGAAGACCTGACAGCAATCAGTTCTATACAGACATAACAACAGGACTTATTTACGGGAAAAAGTTCAGATGACCAATAAGGTTCTTGTGCGTCCACTACCTTTTTTCTGTAATCTGCAGCAACAAATAAAAACTAGGTTTACATTGGAATCAACAGCATTATATGCTAAAAACCAGGTTAAATTAACCAATACACGCCTGGCCAATAGCCAAAAGGCGGCAGGCAAAATGTATTGGATTTCCGGGTTGGACGCCAAATGGCGTCCTCCCGCACATGCGCACTTTTCGCGCTTGCAGAGACGCGCAGCGGCGCGATCTGTCACCAGCCGTGTACCTCGGACACGGCCGATGACAGATCTGAGTATCGGCCCCGTTGCCGGTACCATGTGACCTGCTGTGACCAATCACAGCAGGTCACATGACAGTTGTATACAATGGATGGCTTCATTCATGCCATCCATTGTATACTACTAATGATGTAATGAATACACCTTTTTGTAATTTTCCCAGAGAATTCCCAATAATGAATAAGCAATAATGAAAAATATAAAACCATGTAGTGTCCAATTAAATTGCAATCTCAGATGTGTCCAATATTGGACACATTTGAGATTGCAATTTAATTGGACACTTTATGGTTTTATATTTTTCATTATTGTTTATTCATTATTGGGAATTCACTGGAAAAATTACAAAAAGGTGTATTCATTATATTGTACTTTCTAGGGAGAAAGTGTGACTTTTTGGTGGGAGTTTAGTTAAGGAGGTTATTTATTTATTCATTGTATACTACTGTCTAGCTGTGAATGGTCACAGCTAATCACATGCACATGTCCTGTGATTAGCTGTGGCCAAATCACAGCTAAGCACAAAAAAAAAAAAAAATCTCAAATGAATGGGTTATTTTCACCAAAGACATGTAGCAGAATACATCTTGGCCTAAACTTATGAAGAACAATTATTTATTTGCAAACTTTTATAACAGAAACAAAGAAAAACATTTTTCAGTTGTGTGAAGAAAATGGTAAAATTTTAGTTTGGGTACAATGTTGTATTACCGCGCAATTGTCATTCAAAGTGGGACAGCGCTGAAATCTGAAAAATGGCCTGGGCAGGAAGGGGGAAAATTGCCCGGTATTCAAATGGTTAAAACTGTAGGGAATTTTTTTTTTTCATTTTGGATAGAGTAAGGGAAGGTCATAACCACTGTCAGTTTTTTTGGCCATTTGTGTCCCATTGAGAAGATTTCCCTTCACTTCCTGTCCCATAGCCAAAACAGGGAGTCAGAGGAAATCTCTGCAAATTAAGGGAATTCTTTGGGGCCCCCAGGTTAACAGAACTAGTGTCCCTATCTCCACTCTATCCAAAATGAAAAAAAAAGTTTTGCCTTTTGTTATACTTTCATTAAGATCAAACTGTAACTTTAAACAAGAGCCTACAGTAGTAAATGTGGATGCATTAGTTGTTTAGCGAGTAGTTTACTATAAATATGCTTTTGTTATCTGGTTTGTCATTACCACAATATAACTTTTAATTTTCTTTTTTAGAGGTTGAAACTCGGATACTTTTGGCTTTACTTGAATATACAGGTAACAATATCGTTTTCTTTACTGCTGTGTTTTATTTTTTTTGTTTTCTTTTGCTTTATTGAACCCTGGACTAATGCAGTGAGACACTAGTGGGAATAATAGTCATCTTTATACTATTTATTTTTTTGTAACACAATAATGTTTTGTGATAAACAACCATCAGGGGCGTCCCAAGGCAGGAGGTGACACCGGACCAGCTCCACAAAAGGGTAAGTTGTAGAGCAAGCCGATGATCCCCGCAGGATGGATCCGATCCATCCTACGGGGATCATCGGCTTTCTTTACAATTTACCTTTTTTTGGAGCAGGTCCAGTGTCACCCCGTATAGGTTGCATGCCAACGATCCCCGCAGGATGGATGGGATCTGCGGATTGGAGAGCATAATGGATTGGACTCCAATCCATTATGCTCAATTCGCAGATCCAAACCATCCTGCGGGGATCGTCGGCATGCAACCTATACGGGGGTGACACCAGACCCGCTCCACAAAAAAGTAAATTGTAAAGAAAGCCGACGATCCCTGCAAGATGGATCAGATCTGCGGACTGAGCATAATGGATCGGAGTCCAATCCATTATACTCAACCCGCAGATCCGATCCATTCTGCGGGGATCGTCGGAGGGGTGTCACCAAGTGTTACCGCATCAGGTGACACCAACCTTAGGGATGCCCCTGACAACCATATTACATGGGATTTATAGTAGATCTGTGGTAGTATGGTTGTTTAGTGTTCACATATGGAGAAGCACATCCAGCAGAGCAAGACTCAATTACTGCAAGCAAATTCATTTTGATGCCCCACAACACAAAGTTGAGTAAATGCTTCAGTTAGTGTTTGCATGTTTTAATCCATTCAGCTCCATGTAATGTTCCCAGGCTGGTGCTAGAAAATTAAACTTAAAGTGATACTAAACTCTGGTTCCTTTTATTGCTCTTAGTTGTTCCTCCTTCATGGTCCCACTGTATTTAGGAACATAGCCACCCTCTCTTGCTTGCTCCCATGGTGGACTAGGGACTATGGGATTTGTAGTGTGCATTGAGCTGTGCACATGACTTCAACCCATGGAGTTGATTTACTAAAACTGGAGAGTGCAAAATCTGGTTCAGCTGTGCATAGTAGCCAATCAGCTTCTAACTTCAGCATGTCCAATTACGCCTTGACAATAAAACGTGGAAGATGACTGGTTTCTCTGCAGAAATGCACCAGATTTTGCACTCTCCAGTTTTAGTAAATCACAATGTGTGCTGCTTTTTCCAAACAAGCAGAAGCGAGGGGATAAAGTTCAGGAGCTTACAGAGGACATTACAGTGAGGCAAAATGCAATAAGAAATGATCTGATGAAAAATAGATTACAGAGCCATTAAGTAGTTGATATGTATGTGTTATTTTTGGAAAATAAGGATATCATTTAGTGTCACTTTAAGGAATATAGGACTTATATCCCTGTTTGTTTCTACAGATAGTGAAATTCAACTTAGGAGAGATATGGTCTTCTGCCAGAGCTTGGTAGCTGCTGTGTGTGCCTTCTCTGAGCAGCTACTGGTTGCATTAAATCACATGTATGATAGCAACAGAGAGTATGAAGTAGAAACACAAGAGGCCAGCAGAAGATGGTTGGAGCAGATTGCCAATGCTGGTGTCCTCTTCCACTTCCAGTCCCTTCTTTCTCCAAACCTGGTAAGAAAAGATTTATTCATAAACGCAGCTCTTGTGTAGAGATAGTTTTTCACTCTTAAAGCTTCTATTCTGGACATGTATGTATTTCTTAAAGGATAAGTTTACCTTTAGGAGCATGTTACATTTTAGACCTGTATTTAGGGTGTAACATGTGACATGTTCCAATGCAACCTGCCGCCAGAGTGTCATCACATTTTGAAAATGGCACAGCTGTGTGGGGCTCTGCAGGTATCTGTGAGTGAATAAACTACAAGCCCCATCTGTCACCACAGCAGACAGACTTGTAGTATCAGTGAACTGTGAGCATGCTGGTCAGCACGCTCTTAGTTCATTTACACTGCCTACAGTTTAGAAACTGTCTCCTCATACAGAGCTATGGTTAGAGAGCTCTAGGCAGTGTATGTAGGAGCCTGGCGTTACACCGAGATCCACTGATCCACTAATAAATGCACATTTTTTTTTTCCTGAAAATAGATGTGCATTTATTATGTTTTTCAGAAAGGTGAATTTAGCCTTTAAAATAATAAGCAGAGATTCATTTGGGGGATAAGTTCACCTTTCGTAACATGTTACATGTTACACCCATATTCAGGGTGTAATACTTAACATGTTACTGTGGCACTGGCCCCCGAACCCCCCTGATCCCCCCATTGTAACAACGACTGAGGGCTCTTCTCCCCCTGCTCGCTGTCACAGTATAAAAAAAACGCTCCTGCCGCTCGGCCGTGTCATTCATTCATTTACAGAGTTTGGTGAATAGAAAACTACAAGTACCGACAGCCTTTGCAACTGTCGGCTTGTAATTCTCAATTAACTACTGTTGAGAGCTGTTGTAGTTCATTGATTCTTGTATGAACTGACAGTCTGTAGGACTCCTGCATGGCTCCAGTGATCTGCTAATCACAGGTGCAATGCTTTCCAGGCTCCTACAAAAAAATAGGAAATGCACATTTTTTACCTGCGAAAAATATGCATTTATTATTTTTTTCTAAAGTGAACTTATCCTTTCATAACATGGTGCAAATCAACATCTTGATACTTGAAACAAGCACTTAAGCTGGCTATACATGGATCGAAATCCAGCCGATTCAGCAAAGACCAACTGAATTTTGATTTATGTATGGGCTAGCTGGTGGTACACAAGTTGATCTATGAACTGATATTCACTTGTGTACATCCAGCCTGTCTGTTTTTTCCAGAACATTCCATGCCACCAACTATAGCCAGCCACACTGATAATTGCATTCTGCCTTGGGGGAAGTCTCTCCATCGGCAGAATACAATACCACAGGAGCAAGGATTTACTCATCCACATTGAATGTGTGGATGGGGAAATCAGCTTAATTATTTTTGTTCAACTCACTGGTCATATATGGCTTCCTTTAGATGAACATTTTCACTAGTGTCAATACAGTAAAGGTGGATGTAATTTGTGTAAATAGGATGACTTGGCATTATTGCCTGGCATCTTTGGGTCATGGGTTTGAGTGTGACTATGGGCACTTTTTGTATATAGTTTGTATATCCTTCCTGTGTTTGCATGACTTTCCTCCAGTTATTCCAATTTCCATCCACAAACCTAAAATGCACTGCTAGATAAATTGAGTTCTTTCTTAAATTGGCCTTTAGGAAGCCATTATAAAGTAGCACTATGGCTTTACAGCTTTACCAATGTGCTTTGGGACTGTGTATGTATATGTGGGGTATGTGTGTGATAAAAACATAGATTGTGAACATCATAATGTGACAGACATTAATAAAAAAAAAATGTTGGAGTAACATACCTATTAAAGGCTACATTCACCTTTTACATAAACTGGCTCATGCAGACAAGGGGCCCCGTTGCATGTGTCTTCTGCAATAAACTGTTTGCATGCGGTGGACAACAGTGAAACTTTAGTTACGCTTTATAGAAGGAGACTTAACAGCTATTTTATTGTATTCTATGTCCTAGAAAAGATTAAAAAATGGATTATTTTGGCCAAGCATACAGCTATGGTATTTGCATTAACCACTTGCCTACTGGGCGCTTTCACCCCCTTCTTGCCCAGGCCAATTTTTAGCTTTCACCATTGTTGCATTTTGAATAACAATTGCGCGGGCATGCAACACTGTACCCAAACAAAATTTTTATCATTTTTTGAGACAGATAGAGCTTTCTTTTATATTTTGCTTAACAAACAAAAATGACCAAAATGTTAGGGGAAAAAAACTCTTTTCCTAGTTTCTATTATAAAATTTTGTAAATAAGTAATTTTTCTCCTTCACTGATGTGCGCTGATGAGGCTGCACTGATGGGCACTAATAAACTGCACTGATGGTTACTGATAGGTGGCACTGATGGGCACTGATAGGTGGCAAAGATGAGCACTGATAGGTGGCACTGATGAGGAGGCACTGATAGGCAGCACTGATGGGCACTGGCAGGCATAACTGCTGAGCAGTGATGGGCAGCAATTGTGGGCACTGAGAGGCATCACTGGTGGACACTGAAGGGCAGCATTGATGGTCACTGAGAGGCATCACTGATGGGCACTGAGAGGTATCACTTGTGGGCACTGAAGGACAGTTGTGATTGGGTCTTTACCTCAATCTGTGATTGGCTATATCCAAAGAACAAAGTGATCATAGAGCATGTCAATAGATGCCCTCCCAGAACTGGACAACCATGCTGTAGCCATTATTTGGCTATAGTGCTGTTGATAAGAGGTTAAACTAAATTTTTACAAACAGCACATTGTATTTTAAACTACTGTGTTCCCATGGGCAAGTTTATGTAAATGGTGAAAAAACTTTCACCCCCTTCCTGCCCAGGCCAATTTTCAGCTTTCAGTGTTGTCGAACTTTGACTGACAATTGTGCGGTCATGAAACACTGTACCCATATGAAATTTGTATCATTTATTTCACACAAATAGAGCTTTCTCTTGGTGGTATTTAATCACCACTGAGTTTTTTATTTTTTGCTAAATAAAATAAAAAAAACCTGAAACTTTTGAAAAAAAAATGCATTTTTCTTCATTTCTGTTATAAAATTTAGCAAATTAAATTTTTTTTTATATTTTTTGAGACAGAGTTCTTTTGGTGGTATTTAATCACCACTGTTTTTTTTTTGCTAAACAAATGAAAAAAAAAATTAATTTTAAAAAAACCTTTTTCTTTGTCTCTATTAAAATGTTTTGCAAATAGGTAATTTTCTTCTTCACTTATGTCCGCTGATGAAGCTGCACTGATGGGCACTGATAGGCTGTGCTGGTGGGCACTGATAGGCTGCACTGATGGGCACAGATGAGGCTGCACTAATGGGCACTGATATGCTGCACTGATGGTCTTCGATATGCTGCACTGGTGGGCACAAATATGCTGCACTCATGGACAATAGGTGGAGCGGAACTGGTTAAATACCACCAAAGAAAAGCTCTATCTGACTCTAAAAAAAAAAAATATAAAATTAATTTGGATACAGTGTTGCATGAGTAATTGTTTTTCAAAGTGTATGTGTTTACCACTAGCTTGCGCTTAGCATGTTCTCTTGCCACTTATTATTATTATAAAGTATTTATATAGCGCCAAAATGGTTTGCTCAGCGCTGTACATTATAGTGGGGGACAGAACATGAGACAATACAGCAACAAACAATACATGAGGGGTTCAATGGCCCTGCTCTTTCGAGCTTACAATCTAGGAGGGAGGGGATAGTGGTACAGGAGGAAGTGGCTGTGGGGGATGGAGTGGTAGGAGGAGTGGAGGAGATCAGCAGTTAGGTGAGGGTGGGGTAGGCTTCCCTGAAGAGATGGGTTTTCAGGTTGCACCTAAAGGTGAGGAGGGAAGGTGACAGTCTGATGGACTGGGGTAGTGAGTTCCAGAGGATGGAGGAGGTCCTGGAGAAGTCCTGCAGTCGGGCATGGGAGGTGGAGACCAGGGAGCTAGAAAGTAGGAGGTCCTGTGAGGAGCAAAGATTACGGGTTGGGTGGTATTTGGGTATCAGGTCGGTGATGTAGTTTGGGGCAGCGTTATGAATGGCTTTGTATGTCAGTGTTAGTAGTTTGAATTTGATGCGTTGGGCAATCAGGAGCCAATGGAGGGAATGACAGAGGGGGGTGGCAGAAGAGGAGCGTTGGTAAGATGGATGAGTCTGGCCGCTGGCCACTTATTTTATGAAGAATTTGCAGTGTATCTTTTCACGATCAGTAATGATCCTATAGGATGTTGCTGATGTATATGGGACTGTGGTTTTCTCCAAATAGACAACTGCGACTGTAGATTAAATTGTATGGAAATTTTAGTATAGGCTATATGGTCAGCAGTAATATCAGTGCAACATTTGAATGATTCAAGACACAAAAAGTGAGGTTTTTGTTTACACCAGGGATGCTTTTGAGTCCAAATGAAATCTTTTTCTACTTAGTGTTAAAATTCTGTTCTGTTAGTGTAATGCCTATGAAATGTGTTGGCCTTGGACCCTTTTTCTTGGGTAATTTGTACAATAAAGCAACGTTGCGCAAATGCCAGGGGCATAAGAGGTGACTGAGGTCATTTCTTTAGCCAAAGGAACAAAGGCACAAGATATTCTGCTGAGAGCAAGATAAAACCTTGTTTATGGAATAAAGCATGTTTATGACATCTAGTAACCTCACATTAGGAGATAAAAACCTGTTTAAGGACATCGAAGTTAGAAATCCTTAAGTCTGGGGGAGATGAAAAGAGGTTTTGGGGTAGATGAGAAGCAAAAGTTTGACTTTTCGGATAACGAATATGGTGGTTGAACATGACTGTTATCCTCGTAGAACCCTTCTGCTAGCCCCTCCCGTAGTGGGTGTGGTGTCACCCACTATTGGACTATATGGGCTCATCGAATGGTTGCGCCTATGGCTTCTCCGTGACCTCCTGGGCAGTTTGGTTCCGATGGGATTTGTTCCTCACAGCTTCCACATAGCTTCGGTAATGTATTAATTCTATGCTGTGACGCTGTCAAATGATGTGTCTATTTCATGCTGTAGT